AGAGAGAGAGAGAGAGAGAGAGAGAGAGAGAGAGAGAGAGAGAGAGAGAGAGAGAGAGAGAGAGAGAGAGAGAGTAGTAGTCAAGCACATACCTGGTTTGAGTCTGAATCTGTGTAGGTGGCAGAGACCGCTGGATACGTGAAAACTTTCTGGTATAATAAAGATACAATTGGGTGACAAACTCTCGTGTGATTCTGGTGTTTCAGCTATTGGCTTCAAGTGTGAACTCTCATCTGGTTGCTCGTTCCATGTGTGTGCGAGGTTGTGGGTGATTGACTTGTGAATCATTGCACTGGTATCAGAACTAGATCTCGCTACATCCGCATGGAGAAATAGCGCTGGCAAGGAACAAGGTCGGCGGGCAGTTAAAAACAAAGAAGAAAAAAATAGAGATGCATCAGGATTTGAAGTTGGAGTGAGGGCCGAGAAGAGGAGGCTTGAGACAGGCGAGCGGCACACGTACCTGCGATCGAGGAGCTTCATCAAGGGCGACATCAAGACTAGTGAAATGCTTCTTGCCCTGGCCCTTGTCGTTTATGCAATTCATTTTCGTTCAGGACTGGGCCGGCAACCAGCTGGTCGAGCTTGCCCGGTCCAGCCGGGACCGGACCGGCCCAGGGGGGGTGAACCGGCAAACCGGATGGTTAAAAAAATGGCCCATTTTTTTTTATTTTTTATTTTTTGCGGGATCGGACTGCGCTTGCTGAGATCTGTCCGATTCCGCAATAAAACTTGGACTGTTGGAGATTTCTTTTGGGGGTGTGCCGGGGGGAGGGGGGGGGGCGACGTCGAGAGTGGTAAGGGGGGTGTTGCGTTCAGGGTTTGCAGGCCCACAAGGCTATGGCTAACAGACAAGAACAGGAGGAGGAGGAAGAAGAGGAAGACGAAGACAAAGACGAAGACGACGACGACGACGACAACGAAGAAGAAGAAGAAGAAGAAGAAGAAGAAGAAGAAGAAGAAGAAGAAGAAGAAGAAGAAGAAGAAGAAGAAGAAGAAAGAAGAAGGAGAAGAAGAAGAGGAAGAAGAAGGAGGAGAAGAGAAAGGAGAAGGAGAAGGAGAAGGAGAAGGAGAAGGAGAAGGAGGGGAGAAGGAGGAGAAGA